GGGAGGGTGGCAGCGCTGTGGAGCAGGCAGGGGGCCGTGGCAGCCTGCGCACGCGAGGCAGGCAGCCGCACAACCCAGCACATGCCCCCATGCCTGATGCCCCCCCCCCCGCCCTCCCTCCCCCAGCTGACCCCATCTTGGGCCCGATGTCGCCCACGGTGATGCCCGGCAGCGGCAGGTGGGTGGCCATGTCTCGGATCTGGACGACAAAGGCGTGGGGGCCGTAGTCGCGCCCCTGGGCAAACAGGCGGGCCATGAGGATGACCTGCAGGGGGCGGGGGCGGTGGCACGCGGCAGGCAGAGAGCGTCCAGGCTGTCAGCAAGCAGTGGCAGCAGGAGGCGCTTTGAGGGAGGCACGACAGCAGGCAAAGCACCCTGACAGCGGCCCGACCCGCACAGAACGGCGGCGGCGGCCCAGCTGCCCGCCCTGCCCGCCCGCCCGCTCACATGCGTGGCCGTCTTGCCCAAGCCGCCCGGCCACCACTTGTGGGCCTGCGGCAGTCGGCGGGGTGTGCTCGATGAGCACCGTCTCTCAGTTCCAAGGCTCAAAGCCAGGCAGGCACTCTGCTGTAGGGAGGCAGGCGTGGGCAGGCGTGCGCTCACTCACCTCCAGGCTGGGGGTGTGCACCACAAACTCGCGGGAGGCCTCGTCGTACACGGCCACCGTCTGCAGGCCGCGCACAAAGGTGCCGTGCCCCAGCTCGGTCTGGGCGTAGGTGCCGATGATCTGCGGGCGGGGCGGGCGGCAGCTGCACACGTGGTCGGGAAGCGTGGGCACGGGGCAGCGTGGTGGCAATGGGTGCAGGGGCCGTGTGGCCGGTGATTGAGTTCACACCCACGCGCCTGAAGGCGGTTGGACATGGGCAGCCACTTGGCCTGCTGCTCGGGGGTGCCCTGGCTGAGCAGCGTGGGGATGAACCTGCGGCCAACAGAGAGGCAGGCAGAGGGGGTGATGAGCAGGCGGCGCCTGCCGGGAGCTTGTCACACCACCATGGCGCTGACGCTGGAACCCGGGGGAGGGCCCACGACTGCTGGCTGGCTAGTGGGGCGCTGCCCGTGTGCTGGGCGTGCACAGCGTGACGCACATGCCGATGTGCAGCTCCAGGCCGCCGGGGAAGTAGGCCAGCGATCGCATGGCGATGCCGTCCTCCAGAGACAGGCGGCCCTGGCGCATCTGCTGCCTGCAGGCGGGCGGGCATGGGGTGGGGTGGGGTGGGGATCGGACGGCATCTGGAGCAGAGACAAAGCAACGGACTGGGCACTTGAAGCTCCATGGGGGGTCACAATGAGCCCCTGATGTTGGGACAAGCTCTGGCACCACACGAACGAGCCGGCTGCTGTTGGAAGCAAAAAAAACGCCCCAGCCAAGCGGGCAGACGCAAGGAGACGCACCACATGCCCACCATCGCCTTCAGACCGCCGACATACTCCTGCGGCAACGAGGGAGATTGAGTGAGTCGCTGCCTCAGCGCGACAGGTTCCGCCCTCCAAGAGTGGGAGCTCGGCATCCCGCCAACCTGTTCCCTCGTCAGAAAATAGCGGTGCGTCTTGTCGCCCCAGGGCTGGCTCGACAGCAGCTTCACCAGCTCCTCCCTGCACTGTGCTTGGGGTTCGGGTAGGTCAGGCCAGCGCCAAGAACCAGGGTGCGGGTGAATGAGAACTGGCGGCAGCGGTCGTCGCCGCCTTGCGCCGCTCCGCCATCAGGCGATGGCCCACACCGCACCTGCGCTGCAGCTTGTCCTCGCCATCGTGCAGGAAGGCGGCCAGCTCATTGCTATCAAAGGTGCTGCGAGCTCGCTCCCGCGCTGCGTCATCCATTGGCGAGATAGCACCTAGCAGCACCTCCCTGCATGGCGCCTCTATCAGCTGCTTGTCCCGAGCATCCACTGGCCGCGGCATTGTGTGTCACGGCTGAAGATGCAGGCGAATGAGTGTCGGGAGGGGTGCAAGAGGCTCCCGAGACAGAGGCTGGGGGAGTGCGAACGCGTTTCGATGCTCAAGGCTGCTCTCTGACGCGTTCCCCTGCGAATTCGGCGCGCCAGGTGCAGTACAGTACTGCAAATTGGGATGTCCAAAATGATTGCCCTCCGGCCCACACCGTCACCAGCCCGGCGAATCATACACCCCACAGAGCACCGCGCCGCCCCCAGCCTGCGCCAGCTGACTGGCCTTCTTCAGTTTATAACGAAGCCCCGGGCAGTCAACAGGCGGCCCCGCCACGCTCTCAGCCAGCAGCGACAGGTGCCGCAGCGGCAGCGCAGCGGGGTGGGCTCAGGCAGCCCAACCGCTTTTTGAGTGGCAGTAGCCGGGGGCTCGGGGAGCAGGCACGGCGATATGTCGGAGGAGATTGACAAGCACGTGCTGAAGAAATATGAAGTTCAACAGCGGCTGGGGAAAGGGGTGAGCATCTGCCGCCGGGCCGCCCGCCGTGCCGTTGTTGAGCTGCGCCGCCTGCTGCCTGCACGCACGTTGGTTTACCTGCTCTGCTGCACATTCAAACACCCTGCAGGCGTATGGCATCGTGTGGAAGGCCATTGACAAGAAGACCAAGGAGACCGTAGCGCTAAAGAAGATTTTCGATGCGTTCCAGAATGCCACTGATGCGCAGGTGCGATTTTTGCTGGCAGCCGGCGGCACTTGCTGTGGTGATGCAGCCTTGCATTGCAATGCCCAGCTGTTGCTCATTTCGGGGGCCGCACCATGTGCTGCTGCAGCGCACGTTTAGGGAGATCATGTTCCTCCAAGAAATGAACAACCACGAGAACATCATCAGGCTACTCAACGTGCTGAAGGCAGACAACGACCGGTGGGTGGTCGGGCATCGGCCGTCGGTGGCCTGCCCAGCAAACAGAGAGTGTACTGCCGCTTCATGGATCGACCTGCGGTGCAAAGCCCACCTGCAGGTGCTGCCTTGGGTGGGGTGTGTTGTAAGTGTGTGCATGGCGTTGCTTGGGTGCCCGCAGGGACATCTACCTGGTGTTTGAGTACATGGAGACCGACCTGCATGCCGTCATCCGCGCCAACATCCTGGAGGAGGTGCACAAGCAGTACATCATGTACCAGATCTTTCGCTCCCTCAAGTTCATGCACTCCGCGCAGCTGCTGCACCGCGACATCAAGGTGCTGATGGGCTGGGAGGGCAGCAGCCAGGAGCAGGCAGGGGTGTGGGCAGGGCAGGGTGTCACAACGAGCCAGGCACCAAGTGTGGGCGTTGCTGCCGCGGTGCACGTAGCCCCTGGGAGGTGGCATCCACACAGGCACCGCCGGGCCTGCTCTCCATGCCGCAAACATGACTCAGATTGCTACGGCACGTTTTGCACGACGCATGGCTTGCACAGCCCTGATCCGTGCGCCCTGCTGCCCGCCTGCAGCCCAGCAACGTGCTTCTGAACAGCGAGTGCCAGGTGAAGATGGCGGACTTTGGGCTGGCGCGGTCGGTAGCGCAGCTGCAGACGGAGGAGGGCAACCCGGTGCTGACCGACTATGTGGCCACCCGGTGGTACCGCGCCCCCGAGATCCTGCTCTCCTCGCACCGCTACACCTACGGAGTGGACATGTGGGCCTGTGGTGCGTGCTGGGGTGGTGCCGGTGGGGTTCAATGCCCTGGGTGTGCGAGGTGGTGGTGGGGAGGGTGCGGCTGGGCACATGGCCTGGCGGTGCTGCCTTCTCCCTGCACCAGCAGCACCGCCGGTTCTGCGACTGTGTTGCGCCGTGTGCCACCTGCAGGCTGCATTCTGGGGGAGCTGATCAATGGCAAGCCCATTTTCCCGGGCACGTCCACCATGAACCAGCTTGACCGCATTCTGGAGGTGACGGGGCGGCCCAGCCCGCAGGACATCGACTCCATACAGTCGCCTTTTGCAGGTGGGCAGGGGAAGGGGGGATGCTGCTGGAATCCAACCGGCTGGCATGTGCCCTGGTGGCTTCATGTGCCTTTGGCTTGCTGGCTGACACTCGAGGCAGCGCGTTACTATCAAACCTCAGGCGGTGCCGGCGCGCGTGCCTCCTGTGTGGTGCAGCCACGATGCTGGAGTCAATGCGAGCGCCGCCTACGCCGCGTCTGGAGGCCACCTTTCCTTCCGCCTCGCCTGAGGCGCTGGACCTGCTGCAGCGCCTGCTGCACTTCAACCCTGACAAGCGCATCTCGCCGGAGGAGGCGCTGCGGCACCCCTACTGTGCGCAGTTCCACAACCCCCACGACGAGCCCGTGGCGCCCGCCACCATCACCATCCCCATCGACGACAACACCAAGGTGGGGCTGGCGGGCAGGCCTCGCGCATGGCAGACGTTGGAATGGTTTGGAAGGATCCCAACCCACGACGCTTCGGCTGCCCGTCCTGCAGTACTCCATCAGCGAGTACCGGGACCGGCTGTACCTGGAGATTGTGAAGCGCAAGAAGGAGTTGCGCAAGGCGCAGAAGGAGCGGGAAGCGGCCAAGGCGGCTTCGCGGTCAAAGAGCCGCAGCTCTGCATACCAAAGCGGCGCGGCCTCGGCAGGGGCCTATGGCGGCAGCGCCGCCGCATATGCCGCTGCACATGTGCGGCACTGACCGGCAGGTTCAGTCAGGCCACTCCGCCATTCTGCGACGTTGTGACCAAGTGACCCTTTCTCCAAAGCTCTTTTCTTTTACATTCTCACGATCGCTTTCCCTTTGATTTCCTCAGTTGATCTCTGCCCCCGCTGCGTGATCCACTGCCTTCACGTGAACAGCTGCTGCACTGCTGCAACCTGCTCCTCCGCCTGTGCCAGCTCCTCGCTGCCCGACAAGCTGCTGCCCAGCTCCTCCTGCAGCAGGCAGTCAGGGGAGGGACAGCCTGCTGGGTGGGCTGCAGCTGCGGTGATGGAGTGCCATGCATGCTGTACGCTCAGCACTGCCAGCACTGCTACTACTGTAACATACAGCCAGGCTGGCGATGCAGCATAGCTCACCGCTGTGCCCTGCAGCTCACGAAAGGCCTCCTCCAAGCGTTGCCGAGTGTCGGGCAGCATCGCACTAGACTCGGCGAGGATGTTCTCCTGCAGCCCGCCACCCAGGGTGGTGGTTAGCACCAGCTTGCTGGACAGCCATTCCCCCGGGTTGGTAACAAAGGCAAGCAGGGCGATGCAGCAGCGGTGGGTTGGTCAGCAGCCAGGCCTACTGCATATTTGATGTCGTGCGGGTCCGCTCCCTCATTCTTGAGCTTCTGCACCTTGGCCTGCTCCGTCTGCACCTCCTGCTGATACATGTCCAGCTCCTTGCGCAGCCGCTTCACCACGCCTGTTTTGACCTTCAATGTACGTTTGTCAGCCTCCGACATTTCTGGCTATCCTGCAGCTGAGGAGTGCAGACCAGCTGACGCCTGGCCTCAGCGCCCCGGCGGCGGCAGCAGCGGCGGCGAGTTGGTCAAACCTGAGCTAGCTGGGCCGGTGCACGTGCGGCTGGGCGTCGCAGATCGACACACAACCCAGGAGGTAAACAGAGGCAGCCCTGTTCACCTGGTTTGCAGCAGGTTGCAGCCGATCGTGTGACTGTCGCTCCGCGCTTTGCTGATCACACCGTTTAGTGAGCGAATTGATGGCAGAGCGGAGAGACCAGAGTGGCAACCAAGTCATGCGCCCGCCGTCGCCACCTCAGCAGCGGCTTGTTGCAACAACAATACATGCAGCCCACCAATCAACCCGCAAGGTTTCAGCTCTGATGTTCCAGAAGAAATGGCATGTGCAGGGACGGCATTCCGGTGGGAACGACCGCTTCAGAATAGAAAGAGAATTGGCCTTGGTGGAGGTTGCCAGAAGAGAGAGAGAGGATGCGCAGAGGAAGGTGAGGAGAGAGATCAAGGAAAAGGACAGTAGTGTAAAACAGACGCACGCACAATTGCCTCCGCACCTGGCAATGCCCAGAAGCGCGCTAGTCAAAGATAGGTAACCTTTGGGTGTGCTGTTCCTCGTGCAAGGGCACCACAGCACTGCAATGTTGCCGCAGTGACATACCCGCAGGAACAACCTGCTCGGCAGGGAGCTCAGCGTCGGAAGAGGGCTGTGCAGAGGGGAAGCGCCGCATCGCCAGGTGGTCAACTTCAGGTCCGCACTTCTTGGCTGCCTGCTGATCCGCGCGCCAGTGCTGCGCGAGCCCCTGGGGAGGTGCGCGCCAGCGTTTGTGCTGGCACACGGCCCAGCTTACTCAACTCCTGCAGCCCCTCGGAAGGGCGCCGCACCAGGTCGAGCAGGTTCTGATCCTGCGCAGCGGAATACACACGTGTGTTTGTCTGTGTCGGGCATGCCGGGTGCCGACCATTGTGACGCTGCCTGCCCTGCACGTGCCCGGCCAAGGCAGCGTCGACAAGCACTTACCGAGCTGACTTGCTTTATGACAACGTGCTCCTCAGTCACCTCCTGCGCACACATGGCACCAGCCAAGCACATCAGCATCCCCGAAAACATCACCAGCCACCACCGCACCGCTGCCAACTCCCAAGTAGGCCCACCTCCAGCAGTGCCTGGCTGGCTGGCGTGGCTTCCTTTACCGCTACCGCAGCTGCTCCCTCTGCGCTGTGTTCCACCTCGGCCGCCGCTGCAAATGGCGAGCGCCGCGGGGCGGGCCCCGGCAGGTACACGCCCATGCCGTCTGGCGGGACTGTGTCTGGCGGCAGCGGCGGCAGCGGGGTGCTACACTTGTTGGGCTCCGGCGCCCCGCCCATGCTGCCGGCCCCTGCCTCCTCCAGCTCCAGCAGGCCGCCATCGGTGGGCTGCGGCCGCTTGGGCACAAAGGTCACAAACTCAAAGTCCAGGGAGGCCGCAATCACCAGGACCGCGCCCGTGTTGCCTGCGCCAGGTGGGGGCAGGTGATCCGAGGGGCATGCAGTGCACCAGGCTCAATGGGAGCCCGCCGCCGGGCAGTGGGGAGCACGGCCGCTGGGCGGCCAAAGTAGACGTATGCCAGGCCTCCATGCCATGCATGCACTGGTCACCCACGCCAGCCCGCGCAGCCAGGCAGCCAGCCGGTCGACCAGAACATCCAACATGGCTGGCTCGCGGCAAGCGCCTTCACCCCTGCTCCTGTCCCCACAGGGCCCACATCCAAGGCCAGGCCAGGCCACCCACCCGACTCGCGATAGTCTGCCGCCGAGAAGACCGTCATGACCTCGTTGTTGCCCAGCACCTCAAACCCCGTCTGCTGCACCATGTGCGCCCGCACGATGGCGCGCAGCCCGTTGTCCCGCATCCACCGCTGCGCCACGTCCAGGCCAAAGACGTAGGAGACGCCGCGCGGGTTGGGGCACCAGCCACTGATGTTGGCGCTGGGATCGGCCCACAGCAGGTCGCACAGCAGGCCCTCGCCGTTGGGGTTCACATCCTGCAGGCACGTGCATGGGGCAGGCAGGCAGAGCGTCAAGCAGCATGGCACTGGACCTAGCGGGGGGGCAGTCGGCGGCGCCAGTATACAACCGCCCTCACCAGCGGGCGCCGTATCTCGTTGATGTCCTGCGGCCGCTTGAGGTGGGGGCTGATGCCGCCGTGGCACAGAAACACGCTGCCGTTGAGCTGGGCCGCCAGGGGCAGCGCGTCAAATACCTGTTGGACAGGCATGCAGGCAGATGCGGCTGGGCTGGGCGGGAGCTTGGCTGGCGAGCCACCTGCCAACCTGGGAGCCGTGCGCTGGGGCGGTGTAACAGACAGCAGGCAGCAACCCAGCTGCGGCAGGCAATCCACCTGCATGACGGCCTCCCACACCGCCAGCGTGCTGCGCCGCTGGCACTCCCCGCAGAAACCAAACAGCACCTGCAGGGAGGCACCGCAGCAGCAGCAGCAGCAGCAGCATGATACAAGCCTGGAGTACGGGCGCGAAGCAGTGGTGCGGCATTGCGCGCTGCTCCTGGGCAGGCATCAGGCTCGGCCCGGGCACCAGCGCCTGCCCGCCGCCCACCGTGATCTCGCTGCACTCGTGATTGCCGCGGAGCATGAAGACCTGGGTGGGGTGCCGCAGCTTGAGCGCCAGCAGTGTGGCCACAATCTCCAGACCCATGGGCCCTGCGCGCAGCAGGGCACCCGACAGAGTCGATGGCGGATCCGGCGGCCCAGCGTGCCAGGCAGGCAGGCAGGCCTCTGCACTGCCACCGCCATCGCCGCCTGCACTGCCATCACCATCGCCGCCTGCACTGCCGCCCGCGCCCATGCACCCTGCACCCCACAGCCCCTCATCCCCCGCCTCACCCCGTCGATGTAGTCTCCTAGGAACACCCACACCTTGGGGTCGCTGCCCGGCCGCCCCAGCCGCTCAAAGATGCGCTGCAAGTCCTGGTACTGGCCGTGCAGGTCGCCCACCACCACCACCTGCGCGTCGGTCCTGAGCTCAACCAGAGAGGGGTCCTTCAGCAGCACCTCCCTGCAGGCACACCGGTAGCGGCACTCGTAAGCAACAATTGTGAACCAGGCCCTGTGGTGCTGCAGCAACAAGGGGAGGACGGAGCGGCGAGGGTCCAGGGGCAGAGGCATCGCAGTTGCAACTCAGCTGCCTCCGATCAGTTACAAATGCAGAGAGCAGCACCCAGCACCCAGGCTGCAGCAGCCTCACACAAACCCCAACAGGTCGCAGCAGCGACGCACACACGGTGTGTGTTGCGGGGCAGCGTTGCGGGGCAGCGTGCCCGCGGGCGCCGGCAGCAGGCGGCCCCCAAGCGGCGGCGCTGCTGGGCACCTCCCCCCCTAAACCTCACTTGGCCGCGCCGCATAGCCGCTTCAGCTCTCTCTCATTCAGGGGGAAGGGCTGTTCCCCGCTGCCGGGCCGCTGCTGCGAGAGCAACTGCTCCACGATATCCTGCAGGTGCTTCGGGCGGATCTTGGGCGATCCCCCGAGCCCCAGCAGCCAGTCTAGCATGGTGACGCCTCAACAGCGCATGCCCCGCTCACGGGCCACCACCGAACGCATCTTATCAGCACACAGATAGACAAAGAGTATGAACCAAAAGCAGCTGCTCCGACCGCTCCGACCGGAACACCGGAACATCAGGGGGCAACAGGGTGTTGCCCCCTGATGTGGCACCCTCCCGATTGGGCAACCCCCGCCCCCGCTCGCTCCTGGCAGCCCGCGCGGCGCTCCCCTCCCATACGTGAACTGACCCCATAGAGCCATGTTTGAGGGTTGAGCGGGGCGGAGCGGGGCTGCTTGCACACGTGATGGCATGCACGCTTCAACGCTCCCGCTGTCATCTCACCTCTCTAGCGTCAGAAATACAACTCTTACAAGCCAACCAACACGAACAGAGAGACCGAACAACAGAAATGAACAGGAAATATGAAGCCGCCACAGGCGGCAGCACCTTTCAGCGGAGACGGCAAAGCGTACAAGGCACACTTCTTCAATGGTTCTTGCAATTGCCACCCTTACCGGTTATACAGCCACAGTGCCGCCCACACCGCGCACCATTCTTCTTGCAGCTGCAGTTCCGGGTGCAGGCGCCGCGGCAGCCGCAGCGCACGGCTGCCTTGCCGCCGCCGGGCTGCGCCGCCATCGCCACATTGAGAGACACCACAGGCACTCCTCGCTGCGCCGTGCCGCTGAAGGTCAGCTCGCTGGCCAGGCTGGGTGGCGCCTTAGATAGCCTGCTGGCCTGATGCATACCCTCCACCACTCCAGCTCCGCTCCGCAGCCGGTACATGGTCACGCCAAAGGGCCGCTTGATCTCCACCACGCGGCACACGAT